TTAATAAGATTACGCATTTACTTTTAATTAGGTTTTCTAGAAAGCTTCTACAAGGCTTGTCATATAAATTTTAATTATATATACATACATATTGTATATATATATATATCTCAATTTATTTTTTATATAATAATTGTAGTAAAAAGCTTAAAACGCATTGAAAGAGCCATTTCCGACCCCATAAAGTATATATATTCTTGATCAGCATTAACAGCGGAGTCGAACAAGACATGTTTGGAAGAAAAAAAATTTACTCATTATACCCTTGCAGGGTATTATAATTTCAGTCAGAAGTTTGCAACGCAGTGAAGGAGGCACCTCCGACTATATAAAGTATATATATTCTTGATCAGGATCAACAGCCGAGTCGATCTAGCCATGTCCGTCTGTCCGTCTGTCCGTCTGTCCTTCTGTCCGTCTGTCCGTCTGTCCGTTTCTACGCAAACTAGTCTCTCAGTTTTGAAGCTATCTAAATGAAACTTTGTAGTTAGCCTTCTATATACTCTCACTCGTATATATGTCGGAACGGGCCGGATCGGACGACTATATCCTATAGCTTCCATAGGAATGATCGGAAAATTTTTACAAAAAAAATTTTAACTTTTTCAGTTTTCAATAGAATTGGCTCAAATTTGAGATATAGCGATTTTACTATACTCTACAATTTTGTATAAAATTTTATGAAAATCGGACTACTATATCATATAGCTCCGATAGGAACGATCGAGAAATTAATACAATTAAATTTATAACTTTTCCAGTTTTCAGCTGATTTTCATCAAATTTGAGGTATAGCCATTTCATATAAGTCTTAAATTTTGTGGCAAATTTCATGAAAATCGGACGACTATATCATATAGGTTCCATACAAACGATCGTTTGATGTAGAGGAAAAATGCAAATCTGTGACTGTAAAATTGCAAATATAATATGTATAGGTGAATGAAATGAAAGCAGGTATTACTTCATTGTTTTTTAACACAAATATATATAATTAATATTGTATGGATTCCTATTCACAGAAGTTCTATCTGCAAGGGTATATAAACTTCGGCGTGCCGAAGTTAGCTTTCTTTCTTGTTCATAATTAATTTCAATGCGGAAACCGCTCCTGTGTTCGGTATTTAGCGCTTAACACTGCATACTAAATTTAGCTTTTTAAGAAATCATTTTTTTTTAGATTTTTCACAATTTTAATTATGTAATTATTGATAATTAATTTCAATGCGGAAACCGCTCCTGTGTGAGTTATTTAGCGCTTAACAAATCTGCATACTAAATTTAGCTTTTTAAGAAATCACATTTTTTTTAGATTCTTCACAATTAGAATGATGTAATTAATGATGATTAATTTCAATGCGGAAACCGCTCCTATGTTACTCATTTTTTTTTGAGTTCTGTACCATTAAAATTTTAAATTTTCAACAAAAATTTTAAAATTTTTTAAGTTTTAATTTAGTACGCAGTTTTGTTTATCCATTAAAAACTAGCATAAAACAGCTTTTCGATTGAAAATTAATGCATTTTTGGCTTAGTTATGACCGATTTTTAGTGCAAGGGTTTAGAAATATAGGGTTTCCGAAATTAGCTTTATATTTCTTGTAAATATAAATATATATATATATATATATATAACTCAAAATATTGAGTTTTTTACTTAAATAGGTTACCGAAATAAGATTTCTTTCTTGTTTGCATAAAAATTTTAAATAAATATACATTTATCTATTTAGATTTAATACTTTCCTGAACTAGATAAAGTTTTATTTTATTTCTAAGAGAATTTCTGAGAGAATGAACTAGACAAAGTTTTATTTTATTTCTAAGAGAATACATATAAATTAAGCGCGGTTAATAGTTTAAGTTTGACTTACATTTATTTTTTTTAGAAAGGGAAGAGGTATAAATACACTGATTATTGATATATAGCTTATTAAAATCTGTTTCCATGACTATAAAAACATAATTTTCAGAGTAATAAAAATACTTCAATCACTAAAATCGAAATCCAAAATGCTTAGAGTATTTATAAAATACCATTTACTTTTACTCTTTTAATATAACCTCACTACTTAACAATTTAAACATATATAATATATGAATAATCCATATATCATGCACTATTTTTCAAATATAATAAGCAAATGTCATAGACTATCCCGTCAACATTTCCTAGATATTATTTTGCCAAAGAAAAGGAAAACCCCTCTCACGTTCCCATCACCAATATGTTTTAACCTGGTCTGTCTTCTGGTTCGCCCCGCTGTTACTGTTGGTTTGTCTTATGAGTTGTCCGACGCACGATGACGTTTAAATTTCAAATGATTGATTCCCCGCTGGCAAAAAGCAAAAAAAACCAAAATAACAACTTTGATTAAAGCCGCAGCAGCTTCAAACCACGCCCCAGTTGAGTTTTCCCGCAGATCCCCGTTAAGGAGGCACATGTACTTGTAGACGTGGCTAATAACACAACGTATAGGGGCAGACGGGAAACGCTTGGCCGAAAGGCTGATTGGAGAGACAGGCCTATTTGCGTGCTTAAATATTTTAATTAAAGAAAAAGGCCAGCGCTTAACTAAGCGAGTCAAAATATTTTGGAGGCAGAAACCCGCCCCATTTAGCTTGTTGTGTTTTTTTTTTAATTGCAGTTTACATGTCTATTAACAGGCATCCATCCATCCACCATGTACAGGTGTATTTCTACCCCCTTTTTGTGTCTTTTGGCCGCTTTTTAATTGCAACTGTCATCAGGTGGCTAGCGGTAATTGACGGCCGGCTAAATCGCTTCGAAATACATATTTCCACCTCAAAAACATATGCTAAAAAAATGTGTATGTATGTAGCCAGACCGCACTGAATGAGCTGTCAAGGAAACTCGATCCGTATGCCTGGCGGAGAGATATGGAAGAAAAAAATTCAACAATCGATCAAAGCCAATAAACCGCATAAAATACTCGAATTTCCCTGTCGTCGACGGTGTCATATGCGAAAAATTAACACAACAATCATTTCACACGACCATCCACCCCCCATTCAGGTGGATTCACACATAATTGAATCGGATTCAATTTAATCGATTGCAATTCGGTTTATTTGATTTTTTTGCAAAAAAGGAAGCTCTAATTGGGGCTGATCGTGTTACGATTTTGTCGGTTAGATATGAATGAGGAAATTCGAGTGGAAAATTTACACAGAAATTGAAATAGAATAATAGAAAGGGAGATGAAATAAATGCTGTAATCAAATGCAAAGTTAATTTGATTTGAAATAGAAAACACCACTTGAAAATTAGATTATAATAAAATACTATTGAATAGTAAAACATAAACAAGTTGTACATAAACTAAGTGCTACAAATAAAATAACATTAAACCTAAAATCTAAACTAAAACTTGCCGGTTTGTAGTTAATAATTTTTCAATATTATATAAAAACTCTTATATTCATCAAGCTGTGATAAAATTATTTAAAACAAAAATATCAAAAGAAAGCTTGTTTGATAAAAATTACCTCATTCAAAGTAACATTTCACTTTCGCTTTAAAAAGAAATATAACTAAAGTATACCTTTCCTTATCTTCTTTAATTTAATAACAACATTCCTTTACCAAAACTAATCACCAATCAGTTAAAGGGCAGCTTTAATGTTTATTAAAAGTATAAAGCATACCAAAAAGTAGCAACAAAAAGGAGAAATAAGAAACAGAAAATTATAAAAGCCAGAAAACCGCTGTGCTAAAGGCAAGAAGCAACCAAAAAATTGTATCTGAAATGAATACTTATTATTATCGCACGAAAGACTTGCCGCCGTTTGTCATCAAGGTCTTGCTTAATGGATGTGGTTAAATTTTTTTGTTCAACTTATATAAAATATTTTAGCTGGTGTTGTTGTTGTTGTTGCAGTTTTTTATTTTTTATTCCCTGGCTACCGCAGAGTCTGCAGTGAGAGGAAACAGTTGGCGAGGTGCGATCAAGATCGCTTCTCTGACTCTTCTCTGGTGTTTTTTCACTACACAAAGGAAAAAATTTGAAGGACTTCGAGTGATCAATTAAGGAAGAAAATATAAATATAAAATTATAAATTTATATATTTAAAAAGGATGAAAATATAAATATGGAATTATAAATTTGTATAATAGAAACAGAAGAAAATATTATTAATTTATAAGTTTGTATAAATTAATTAAAATAAATATATACAAAAAATACTTGAGGTCTAGTCTTTTGGATTTAATCTCAATCATTCAATGGCTAACTTTTCTGAAAACATAAACACCAATAGTTGAAATGTTTTTCTAGATAAATCGATTTAATCACAAAGTCTCATTAGGTATATTTTTTGATGGGGATTGAACCTCAAAATATTTGAAAAATATATACACCAGTTTAAATATTTTTCTAGTTATTTCGATTTAATCACAAAGTCTTATTAAGTATATTTTTTGATGGGAATTTAACTTTAATATTTGCGCTTTTAGGTATACATTAAATTTTATATTCTATATTCGCATTATATTATATGATTATATTTTTTTTTGTATTTCAAATATTAGTTCACTTTTGCAAACAGTTTTGTTTACAACTCTAATTGAAATAAATATAATAGTTTCGAATAAGAAAACAACAAGCTAATCAAAAGATAACCAACATAACTAAAAATTGTTATATTATTATACATATATCTTTATATTATTATATTATATTTCTATATATTTTAATTACATATCGATATATGTATTATCATTTATATTATATTCTATCATATTTTTATACCCTTACAGGGTATTATAATTTCAGTCAGAAGTTTGCAACGCACTGAAGGAGGCACCTCCGACTATATTAAGTATATATATTCTTGATCAGAATCACCAGCCGAGTCGATCTAGCCATGTCCGTCGACCCGTTTCTACGCAAACTAGTTATATTTAAATTAAATTTTAAGAGTATTTCCAAGTCTTTAAAGTCACTTTTAATGTTAAAAATATACAGATATTCGAATCTTAAACATTAATAGGAAATACCAAACTGTTGACAGACTTTTGGTGATAAATTTTTCTCCCTGTGATTTGGTGGTGTATATATGTATGTATTTTTTTGTCTTTCTCCCAACTTGCCTGTCTTGCCAGCTTGTTGTCGCCTTAGTCATTGGCGGCTGCTGTGGTCTCGCTCCGCCGGACAAAACCTCAATTGGGGCCACCGACTGCGCCCTCCTCGCAGAGCATCCAACTTCACAACTTTGCGCGCTTATCTTAATTGTTGCTCGCATATTAATTTCGTACCTGCTGCGCTGACAACAAGCGCCTGGCCTGGTCATCGAGATGGAACTGGAAGCTGGGAACTGGAGATGGAAGCTGGGAGCCAAGAGAGGCCATCATCCTGGCCAATCAATGGTCTCTCATTCGGTAACGATGTCGCCTGTCGTTGTCTTACTTTATTGTTGACAAATTAATAGATTGTGTTGTCCATATTAACACGTTTACGTGTTGCGCTTCCTTCCGGCCACAAAATGTGGATCATTAAAAATGCATGAGCATTCCGTCGGCTATCGCTCTGATTAGTAATGAAAATGATGTTCCAAATCGAATGCATTTTAATGACTGACGGATATTTGTTGTTTCGGTTTAATATCAGTTGAAATTTTAGCTTCAACTATAAAAAAACTGTTATGTTTATTTAGATTTTTAATGGGAATAATCAAAATAAAGATTATTCTTAGTATCTTCTACCACCAACGACTCCAAATTGTGCTTGTCATGGCTGTAAGTTGCAATTTTTCAGTTTCTAAAAAGCCTTCATTTATGGGTTCTTGTTCTATGTTTAAATAGGTTGCATCAAGTTTGTTTAGCTAAAGTATAAAAATATTATAATAATACTATTCATTAATAATAACACACCTAACTTACCTTAACTTCAAAATCAGAATCTATTAATTGAGCTTTTAGTATTAAAGGACCCTGAGTACTTGGCTCTCTCACTGATTTAAGAATTTCCAATAAAGAATCAATATATCCCCGACTCAAATCGTGAGTTAAAAAAATATACTTAAGCTTCTTACAAGTTCTTAAAATTGGCATTATTTTATCTACAATTGTTTCGTGAGTTGAAATCATATGCAAATCTTTAAGTTCACTTAGCTTAGTGAGTACCTGAAAACTATCTTCATTGGAAAATCCGACAAGGAGTTTTTCTAGATTTTGTATTCTTCCAACTTTTAAAGATTCCTCGTAATCTATAAAAGTTCTATTCAGCATAAGGCTACGTAGTATCGATGAGGTCTGTAGAAAGTTCAAGAGATCACTTAGTACATATCCCTCAGAGTTCTCCAAGTACAAATCTGTTAGATTTTGAAGAAAACCAATCTGTTCAATGGTCTTGTATAGACTCTCTTCATTATCATCGATGCGTTCGGGATGCAGAGTCAGGGAAAACTTGGTTATTTTCTGATGATCAGATTGGCATAATTTTCTTAAAAGATTGTGCAGACATTCAACCTTAAAGGAGGTATAAAAACAGAGTTCCTTTAAATTTGGCAGATCACCCAAGAGTTCCCAATTGCTGGCACTTTCTGATGAATAACCCAGAAAGAAATCCGAGTATTTAGAGGCAACCACCTCGGCTTCATTTAAGTTTTGACTACATTTCGTAGTGATTATCTTATTATGTGGCTTATTAATGTGACTTTCAGGAGATGGAAGACACTTTTGGCAACTGCGTCGTTCTAGCCAGTTTTCTGTAATCCAAGGATTTAATTTGGTAAATTTTCTCCCTAGTGATAATCTCTCCAAAGATTTCATGCGACTAACTTGAAAAATCTCCTCAGTAGTGAGTACAATATTTTGAATATTGAGATGACGGAGTACTTGATTTTCCTTAGAGGCCAGCAGTTGGAAGAGTTTTTCCAAAGAGCCCTTGGGATGTACGGTTAAAGTTAGAGATTCGAGTTGCTTTAAATTGGCTAAATGTTCAATATTTTGGGAGCAATATAAACCGCAGCTCAGGATTTTCAAGCTACTAATTTGTGATAAAGCTGTAAGTTCTTCAGGATCAACTATAGGAATTTGAAGTTCCTGAAGATTTTGAAAAGCCAAACTTTTAAAGAGAGTTCCAAGAGAACCGTCGACCAATGTGCCTTTAATTTCAACTTTTCTCAAGTTGTTTAAATCCTTAAGCGAATCAAAGATGCTGTGATCAACTTCCGTACCAGGAAAGAATAGAGTTAGTGTAATTTTATTATTGCTTTCATGAATAAAGCGTAGTTCCACTTCTTCAGTTTTTATTTTATCCACTCTCTTAGCTTTTTCCCAAAGCCCATTAAGTTGTTGAACCTTTGAGGCAATCATACTTTTCAAATGTTTAAATCTGCAAAATATAACCTTTAAGGATTGAATGGCACCAAGTGCATTAGCTTCCTCTGTATTCAAGGGTTTATCTCTCAAAAACATTAATTCCTGAAGAATCTGTGGCTTCTTAGAAGCTAAAATACAAAACATTGTTTGTCCTAAGAAGCTACCGAAATCTCCAATTAAAATAAGATGGCTTATATTTAATCGCTGGCAAAGGGAGACGATGAGTTGGGTTATTAAGAAGTCTTCCATAACCTTAGAAAGATCAAATCTCAAACGAAGGACCCCATCTTCCTCAGTAAACAACATTAAGAATCTATATAAATCTGACACGATTTCAACACTGGTCCGGGTTATTAAAGGTATTAAGGATTCTATTAGTTCAGTTTGCTCTGATTGATCAATTTTTATAGATAGATATTGTAGCCATGGAAGCTTTACCAAATTTGCAATACTTGATACATATCTAAAGGCACTTTTTATCATTCCTAAAGAATTTATTTCGGATAGCGCCTGGGTCTCTTCCTTACTGAGATGAATATCTGGAATGAATATTTCATTCAAATTACTGAATTTAAGGCCTTTGAACAAGTCGACGAGAGTTCCCTCTTGGTGTTGTCCATATAGTCTTAATTTTTTGATTTGCGGTAACTTGGCAATTGGAGCATATTCCTTGGCATCTACATCTGGTTTTAGGGTAAAAGTTAGCTTCTCCAGATTGTGGCAATATGGCACAATATCAGACAAGCGTCCATATAGCTCAGTGCTCTTAAATTCAAGATAGTGTAGCTTTGGATTCGAACGACACAACTCGATGAGGTCATCAGTAGTCATTCGTACATCAAGATATAAGCTTCTCAAGTTGCCCAACTCGGGCACATTCTCAAAGGTATAGCCTAAAATTCTCAAAAATCTCTATAAATTGACAGTATTTAGTATTTTTCCCAAAAACACTCACCCTGAATTTGTACCTGCAAAAAAAGAAGGGTTTTCTTATCTTTGAGTGCACTTGCAAGGGCCGCAAATCTATCGAAATGATCTGGATGGAACTGTTTTGGTTCATAACTGATCTCTACGCATTGCAGTTTTTCATTTTCTTCGATGGCATTGAAGAATGATTTCCAAAATATATCCTTATCCTTTTGCGAAATTCTCTTTACGACTTCATAACGACTCGATAAATCTATATTTATCCGCTCGGAGTTATTAAGAAAAGTGTTCTCAATGTCAAGTTCATCGTAAAGCTGCGGATTCCACTGCTTAAAAGCTTTTGTTATGCACTCAAGACATATGGCAAAGTTAATGAGATCCAAGTACTTCACCAGGTTGTATCTATCTTTTAGACTATCGGTCTTTTCGCAGTTTATTTTGATTTGTTTAAATATCTCAAACCAACAATAGCTGGTCAAAGTAAAGATTTCAGGTCGGTTCATATTTTATTTATTTTATTAAAACTACACAGCACAGCCGACGGCTAAACAACGCAGTTACTTGAGAGATACTGAACAGAACCTTTTAATTCCACAATCAAGAAATATATGTTATAGTTTACCAAATCGAAGTTTGTATACACTTTCGTTTGGTAAATTCTGTCGATAATGCTTTTTAATAAATTTTTAATTAAAACCTTCAAGATCTTCTTCAAAAGTTTAAATATTTGTTAAGATTGTATCGTCTGATGAAGCTGATTAAGAATATATTAATTCTGACGATAATGCTTTTAAAGACATTTAATAAAGTCTTTAGAAAGGTTGCTAAAATTATTGAGACATAATTTTTTGAGATTGTTATTTTAATTGTACTTTAAAGTACCTAACACATTTTGTACTTATAGAGCACTTACTTTATCACAGTTATAATTCCTTATAAGAGTATGAAAAAGCTCGCCTTATCAGTCTATATAAAGCTATTATATAGTAGCTTTTGATATGCAAGAGGGTTTGGTTCATATAAGAAATTAAATAATAATTAATAATTAAACAAATATATTTTCCTTGAAAACTTTCAACTTTCACAAGAGAGCGACATCTTGTTTAAGATGATTTTAATTAGGCGCGTGATAAGAGGCCAGATGCAGAATCCGCCGGAAGCGATTTACGTGCCAGCCAAGAGAGAGAGAGAGAGAGAGAGAGAGAGAGAGAGAGAGAGAGAGAGAGACTGCCAACTACGGATCAGATAAGCTCGATCCACACGCTTGTATCTCAAACCCAAATGATTGATTACGCTGGCGCGTCTGACTACGATAAACGAGTTGATTAGCAACTTCGACCAGATCTTCATCTCCATCTCCATTTCGATCTTGATCACCAGATTCAATCTTGGAAACCAGAGGCCTAGAACTGGCGACGTGACGCTCTCTCTCTCTTTCTCTGTCCAGAATCCAAACCTCAGCACTGTAATTGCGGCACATGTGGTTCTTCGTGGCGCCTCGGAACGAAGAGACGTGCTCTTCTCCACCTGACCAACCAATCCCCGCTAGCATCCGACCCCGAGGGAGATATGCCTCATGGGTTAATCAAGTCAATGGAATATATATAGCGGACACATCGACAATGTGCGTACAAGCCATAGGAAGTTGATTTGATGATGGAGAATATGGTGAAAAGCTAATCACTCCTCTAGAAATGACCCAAGGTTCACAGAATTACCAAGAATGCATTTATGAAAATCATTTCTTGGCAAGAAAAGACATAAGGAACCTATGACTAAGCTTGGTAACTTTCTTAATAAATTTTTACTTAATTTTTACCTTGATTATTTTCATTTAACCAACTAAAACAATTAATTCAACAACTGTTTGTTCAAAACAGGTGTGAAACTTGCCAGTGAAGCATTTCCTTGGGAAAATGCCATCATGACTAATAAAATCTGTAACCAGGAAACGAATGCCACAAAACCCAAATCATTCAAATCAACTCAACCCATCATCATCACCATCACCAAGAAACTGTCTGTGGAGAAGGCATCAAGGCATAATCATTGGGGATGTGGCGATCCCCCGCAAAACTCATTGCAAAACACATCTGAAATCATTCGGCGCGATGATATGTGGATAATGGCTTTCCTGGGCACCATCAACAACAGTTTATCTTGCCCTAACCTTCAACCTTTTCTGTGGCGGCAATCAAGTTGCAGTTTGCAGTCCCTCCACTCAGCTGTTCAACACCTTTTCCCAAAATGCAGCTGAGACTTGAAGGCTTTTTGGCCAACTAGAGAGGGAGAGACAGAGACGAGGTTGCCATGAGTAGAAGTGTAGACAACTTAAATCAAAGTGCTAATTTTAAAATAACAACCCTGCAGACAGCCTAAACACACAGGCCAGGCCAGCACAACAACAAGGCTTTTTTTTTGCCAAGAGAGCTGTTGTGTGAGCTGCTGAGCTCATATTGGAAAAACGTTTACGCGAAACTGCTTAACTAGCTGCCACTAACAACAACAACAACAACAACTACAATAATAATAACAACAACAATAATAACAACAACAACAACAAAAGTTAAGGTAACAAAGAGACGGAGGGGATACCGGACAATTGGAGAGACAAGATGAACGGCACGAAACAGGATGTTGGAACGTGGGGCAGAAATTTGCAAAAGCAAAGCCCACGAAGGGGTTAAAGTTAGGGGTTAAGGGGGGTAGAGAGGATGCCCAGACACTCTTAAAAAATATTTATATAATTTAATCTTATGCAATAATATAAAACAATATAAAATAATACTAGAACCAATGAGCTATATGCTCTGCTAACTAAGCCTTTAGAAAGTCAATGAAAATCTTTGTTTATATTTACTTCTCTTGAAATGTTATGTGAAATAAATGTATATTATAATTCATAAAGTGAGTAAAGGGTTTGAATAATTTGAATATTAATTTATTTATACCCACAAGTAATATGGGTATTACTTGAGGATTTTTTTAAAGATATGCTAAAAAAGGCTTTGGAAAGGAAATCTTAAGTAAACTATTATTATTTTAGTTTTCACGAAAGGCAGTTTAATGATTTGAAATAAACTAATCAAGAATACATTTCAATAAAAAGAAGGTCATAAAGGTATAGAATAGTTTTTATATTAATAATAAAGAGCAATAAATTCATAATCATAATCAAGTAATAAAATCATTATCATAATTATCAAGTAATAAATTCATAATAAACCATTCAGTTTGAAGGATGTATGTTCCTTAAAGGGATAGATATATACTGCAAAGGTTTACGAAATTGCTTGAGAGTTTTTGAGGAATTTTAAAACTATTGGAATTAAAACAAATGTAAAAATAATACATTTTTAATAAACAATGCTAGTTTAATGATTCGTTGTAGGGACGGATAGTTACTCCGAGGTATTACAAAGTTTCTTGGGAGTGTTTCTGGAAAGCTTAAGATTGTAAAACTTTAACATTAATTTATTTAATTTTTTAAATTGAATTTCAGCTTCAATTTGAAATAAACCCTTTATTTTCAGTGCACATAACCATCTCCTATGGCCTCGGCATGATGTTGATGTTGAGTTATCGCGGGTATATTAATTTTAGCTGCCGTTGATGGTTCCAGGGCTTCCCAAAAAGAAAAAGAAAAGAAGTCCAAGCTGGGACCAGGAATATACTTGTACAAAAGAAATCTTCGCACATTCACAGCTTCCTTTAAGGAGCGCACACACTCTGCTCAGCGCTCATTCTAATTGACGAAAATCAGAGAAAAAATACACACAGACTGAGAGACGGAAGGACAGAAAGACTCTTGGATGGATGGATCCAGAAGGAAAGGGATCTCTGTTCCTCGTTCTCTGAAGCACGTAATTGTTTGCACATATTTCTGAAACACCAAGTTGGAGCCAATCTTGAATCGTTTGGCTCCTTGGTATGCGCTTCGTCTTTCTTAGAAAATTGCCGTCTTCCAGTTGGGACAGCGAATTGAAATGAAATGATGATCACGGGCCGCATAACCTGGGGAGCCTGCTCACGTTTTCTTTTTCCCTTTCCTCTTTTTTTTCGGTGATTTTCACATTGAAAATACTTCAGCATTGGGGCTCGGTGCGAAAAATGCCACAGATCATGGCGAAAAAGTGAGGTGAGGATGCTTCCCTTTTTCAGACTGTTCTTTGTGTTTATTTTTTGTTTTTTTTTACATATATATATATATAAACAATAAAAGGAATATTTGTTTGTCTTTCTGGAGGGGGACTGGGAACTGGCGGACTTGATTTATTATTGGGTAACAATTCATATGCCTTTATTGATATTTTTCAATTCCTGAACGTCCCAGCGCGTGTGAGACACAATAAATTTTGAAATAAATTGGATTTCTCAGTTTTAATCAGCCCAAACAGCAAAAAAATAAATATCAACCGAAGGGCAAACGAATGCGGTCCAAGCCGTGAGCCTTGGGATCCTTCTCGCAAAACACACCAGACGCCACAAGTGGAGCGCTGACAGAGTCGCCGATCTGAGATGGAGATGGCAATGGAGATGGGTATAGGGATGGGAATGGAGATGGAGGCTCCGCAGGCTGGTAATCGGAAAGGATGCTGCCGCCTAGGTATGCTGGGGGCCGCATAAACGATGTGCAAAAATAACCCAAGGCGAAGCTAAGGAATCGAACTTGCAACTACCCTGTATCTATGATACAAATTTTATATATTTAAATTTTAAACGGGACAAAAATTGCATTGATTTGGTATATAAAATGATTTTATAATAACTTTTTAAACGAAGAAAATCTTTAAAATTACCAGTTGAGATCTGAACCTATCATATACTTTATTTTGGGTCCAAGCCTATTATATATTTGATATTAGCAACATTTAGTACTTTATTCATCCATCATAAAGAATCTTCTAACTTAAGGATATATATTATATGAAGATACCATTAGAGTTTGTAATAAATGTATTAAATTATTTACTAAATTATATCCATTGCTGCAGAATATTCAATAATCATATATTTGATCTTAGTTTAGCCCTTTCAATATAAGTTTTTCCAAATCCATATAAAGAATCTATTAACTAAAGAATACTTATAAAATCAAGCTACTTTTTAGAGCTTGTAACAAGTGTATTAAATACTTTACTAAATTAAATTTATTATGCAGAATAATCAATAATCAAATACTTAATCTTAGAAACTTTAACATAAGCACTTTAAACATAAGTTTGTTCAAGTCTATATAAATAATCTATTAACTTAAGGAAAACTATTATATCAAGATACTTTTGAGGGTTTGTAATAAAATGATTATATTTCTAAATTCAATTTAATACTGCAGAATAATAAATAATCATATAATCATATGGTCATAGCAATATTTTAACACTTATGCCATAAGTTTTTCCAGATCTTATCTTTTAACTTAAGGCTACCTATTATTTCAATATACTTTTCAGCTCTTGTAATAAATTTATTAAATTATTTACTAAATTATATTTCATTCCCTATTATAATCAATAATTTATTATAGCTCTAGACACTTTATAAAAT